CCCTAACAGCAGACTTTCACATCGCAATACATTTTTTCATTTCCTGGCTACTGGTGCCAAGAGTGTTGACTCTCGGGGCAGAGGTTGGTAGTGTCGTTAGGTGCCGTCGAGCTGGTTCTGACTCACAGCAATTCTGTGGCCAGCAGAAAGAAACCCTCATCCTGCACCATCCTCCAACTGGTGCCATGCTTGACTGGACCCATTATCAGAGCCACTTTGCGTTCAGGTACAAAGGTTTCAGTCTGTCTCATGGACAGTCTTCCTCCTTTTTGTTGACCTTCTACTTTTCCAAGAAGCCCTCTAGTGGTGTAGCATCAAAACAGTTGGCTGCTTTACACCAAGGTCGGAGGTTTGAGCCCAACATCTGCTCCTTGGGAGAAAGATGAGGCAGTATGAGTTTGTCAAGATTTATAGTCTCAGAAACCCTGGGGTGTTGCAGACCGAGGGGAAAGTATTTTTATAATCATTAAATAATGAGACAGCCAGCCAGGAATGAGATAGAACAGAGAGCATGAAAAACAGGGGGTCAGCAGTTCTCCACTGAAGACTCCCATTCCAGCTTCCCCGCATCTTTATTGAAAATTATCAGGAAGCAAATCACAAAGAGAATTCAATGCAAATGAAGCCAACTCTTCCTATTGAAAACCTTCCCCTTGACTCAGGAGGGAAGGGGGTCAGCAAATGCAAGTATCTGGTAAACCCTTAAGGATTGCCTTAGTGCCTGAGGGTGAACTCTGGTTTGTACCTCACCTCCCTCACATCCTGATAGCATTTGGTTTATTACAAATATTTAGTATTGGCTTCCCATAGTGTCCCCTTGAGTAGGGAAAGCCTTGAAGGCAGAGTGCATTGTCAGTAACTTTGCTGAAGACTGAGGATGTGAAGCTCATGCCAAATAAGCTGGAACAGGGGCGCATTTAACTCTTAACCCTTGGTGTCTTCAGTTGTGGCAATGTGTACAGGGTAATGCAGTCTTCGAGTGAACCCAGGGCCAGGCTAGGCCAGCTTGGAAGCTTTGCTCTGCTTACTAGGGAACATCTATTCTAACTGTGGTTGGATTAAGTGTGTAGAAAGATGAGAGAAAGGTTGTCTTTCTTTGTCCTTGAACTTCTCTGCTCCTAAATGATATTCACCTTTGCATCCAAACCACACACTGTTATTAGCCATGATAGTTCTCTAGAACTCAGGCTTCCCAGTTACATAACCATTTCAGCTCTGAAATCCCAAGGCTATAAGCAGAGTAATTTGTAAACTGTTCATTTCTTACTGAGAGCTCTGGTGGCTTTTTGGTAAGGAGTTGCACTGGCAATTCAAAGGCAGACAGTTCAAAACCACCAAATGATCCACTAGAGAAAAAAATAAAGCAATCTTGTCCCATGCACGTTATAGTCTCTGACAGAGGTTCAACAACATTCCTTGTCAGTCTCTTTCCCATCTTGGAGGACACATGACAGGAAGTAGTCATTAAGGCAGATTGACGAGAGAGCCCTGGTGAATCTGAGAAAGAAGCAGTGGGAGAGGACAGAAGTCGAATCAATGCCTTTGAGTTGTGGTGCTGGAGAAGATTACTGAACATACCATGGATGGCTAAGAGAACAAACAGTTTGGTATCAGAGAAGATGAGATGAGGTTGTTCATTGGAAGCAAGGATTTTGAAGCTCCATCTCACATACTTTGGGCACATGGCCAGGAATGAATAGTTTTTGGAGAAGGACATCATGCTTGGAAGGGCAGAGGGACAGCGAAGGAGAGAAAGGCCTCAGATGAGAAGGACTGACACAGTAAATGGGGTAAAAGGGGGTAGGCGTAACAGAGACAGTGAGACTGGCTCAGGATAGGGCAGGGTTCAGAGCTGTAATACACAGGGTCACTATGAGTCACAGGCGACTCAATGGCAAACAACGAAAACAACAACAGGGCTTCAGCAGTAGGTGTGGAAAGGGAGAAACACAGATGGGTGGTGGTGACTGAGTATAGTTGACACAAAGTAAGAGGAGACATGGAGTGGGTACTAAGAAGAGAACTCTCACACAGTGGTGGGATATTGACTTTAGATTGTGGGAAGTGTCTGTTCCAGTTGCAGTTTCAAGAGATCTGGGAGGAAAGGGTATGAAGCCACAAACCAGCATCAGGAAAGAAGAGGCAGGAGAGGACTCCTCTCAGTCTCCTGCCAGCCAGTCAGAATCAAATCACAAAAGGCCAAAGGGCAGTGTCCGACCAATGTGGTTTATTTCTTTCTATTCCAGCCAAGCTTCCTTGGTGCCTGGCTGGGGGAAAGGACCCCAAGCAGATCCGGTGTCATGGCAGCTTCCTCAGATCTAGGTGTGGCAGGTAGTAGCCCAGGCGGTGGCGCTGCACCTCGTAGTCCCCCTCCTTCTTCCGATGACAGACAGTGACCTGTGAGGGCGAGGAGAGGGCATCAGACCCTATAAACCCCTGCCTACGGGAGACCAGAGGGGCGAGTATGTACCCAAAGCCTTAGATGGCCTGTTTTCATTAAGTCCTCTGCTTCCCTTCTGCCCACCTGTTTCTCAAGTCTCTCTTCCTTTGCCCTCTTTCTTATCTTTATGACCTCTTCCCCTTCTTATCCAGCACTTTTCTTTTTTTAAATTTATTATTAATT